AGTTAATCTTAGAAGTCTTTTTTTTATAAATCTTGAAGAACTAGCAGTATTTTTCTAAAGGCATGAGAGTGAAACCATACAAGGCATGTTTAAAATCTAATTAAATTGTGATTGACAAAGTAGCCTGGTCATTGCTGTGACTTGTAACACTTTAACATGATAACTAAAATTATAACTGACAACATTTTACCAGGACATATCAGATTTTCATGAATTTTACATAATTTCTAGGATATCTATATAAGTAACATCAACCATACAATATAACCTGAGAAGATTTATCATTCCTCCAACAATAATTCCCATGCAATTTAACATGTCAAATGAACTCAGGTAGTTTAATAGCTCTTTGGGATGTCTCAGGGGCCCTCTGAAGCATCCCAAAGTCAGCTAGAAGTCAAGCTATTTAGGCAGTTTTGTCAATAAATATCAAAAGGGTTTATAGTACTCTGTCAGGTAGAATCATATAGATCACTGTGAAATAATATATTTACTTAGCCAAAGTAAAAAAGATTTTAAAGATAAACATAGAACAGATCACTTCAGAGGTAAAGAAACTTAAAAACCATTATCAAAGGTAGTTCAACGTCTCAAGAAAACTTGTATTTATGCACAAAACTCTTCCCTTAGAGTGCACTTTCCATCAAACCTTCTTAACACTTTCTGTACCCATTACTTTGTTTTCCCATCCTGAAACAGCCACCTGTAAGTCAGACTTACTTCCCTTTTTTTTTTTTTAAATAAAGTGTAACTTCATTTTTCATACCTTCTTTACTGAACACACACATCCTACTTTCTTTAAGCAACCAAGAATTTACTTTTATATTAGCATTCTATAGATTGGTGAACATAAATACCAGTGATAATTTCTAAAAAAATTAGCGAACATCTCAGGATGGCATCATACATTATTTATTTGTAGTCCCAAATCTCTTTAATTTTTCTGTAAAGGGAAATCAGTGTTTAGTAGTAAATGTTTCAAAATCTTATTTTATTTGGAAATGACCTAATTATTCAATAGACTTCCAATACTTAGAAATTTAGGTTACCAAAATCTGGAGAAACTGTTTTAGACAGACATTTTTAATCTTAATAAAGTTCAAAAGCTCATATCTCATTTTTTTTTTTTTGTAGTTTCTTTACTTGAGGTACTTTCCTTGTTGACAAACTTGTAACAGATATTACAATATAACAATATTTAACTTATAATAAACCTAGGCATAATGAAAATATTTACTTGATGTTAATTACTCTAAGACATGTCTATATTTGATAGGTCAACAAACAAACATTAATATCAGGTATTTAATGCTGAATATTTTCCAGTTTACCTGAACCTGGAATTTATTGTTTAATTTAGAATTATTTGATTTGTAAGCGCTTACCTTTTTTTTAAGCCAATTAAATAGAGCTCATTTACCAATTAACCGAAAAAATATCACCCAGAGACAAAGACATACCAAGACATATTTAGACAGACACAGCACAAGATCTAGCTTCATTTTTTAAGTTTGGTCATGAATTAGATATTACAGTATAAAATTTACTAGTTTATAAAAAAGTTGAAATAAATAAAAATTTTAAAGGCTTTTCCCCTTTTTCCCTCAGTCTCAGGATTTAGAGATGGTCTAGATAAGTGTTCCTGAGAGCCCTGGTCTCAAGGCACAGGGAAAGAAAATCAAGTTCTAACAATAAGCAAAATGGCCATCAAAAATCACAACACAGAACACAGAATTAAAACACACACATATAAACCTGGCAGTCCTCATCAGACACTCCCTTAAATACAAGAATACAGTCTCTCAGAAAACCTATAGATACACAGAACTTCAGATGTCTTCAGAGATTTTAAGAGGTAAGGAAGAAGGAGGAGGAGGCGGGAAAGGGGGGGGCAAAAGCGGTGGCCTTACAGACGTCTTCTGCCACCTGCAGATACCCAGGCATTACGGGACTTTTCCCTGGGCTTCCAGAGAAGGGAGGACTAGAACTCGGCCCTATCGGAATTCGAGTTCTCTGCCAAGAGGAGGTGATCAGTCTCCAATCCTCAGCTCAAACTGAGGCCCTTCGACCAAATTCCTGCGTCCAGGACCGGGGGATTAGAAAGACGGGAAGAATAGGAAGGGCTGAGGAGAGGACAGAGAGGGGGAAGGGGAGAGAGGTCAGTAAAGTCTCTTGTTCCTTACCGGTCGGGGCACTCTGGCCAGTTGTCTGCTTCAGGAGGAGACCAGGGACAAAAGGGTCCCAGTTGCGGCCGCTGGGTCTGGTCCATTGGCAGACATGCTGGCCTCTGAGTACCCCGAGTGGTCAGGATGTCAGTCTCAGCGAAGAAGAGTCCCCACCAGATGCAGGAAGGGGGACCCCTTCCAGGGCCTGTAACTGGGCTTTTACAAATGAACTGTCCGAGGAGACACATGTGCTGACAAAGCAAGAGATCTCATCGGAAAGGGCACCCGGGTGGAGGGCAGGAGGGTAAGGGAACCCAGGAGAACTGCTCTTTTCTGGAAAACAAGGACATTGCTCTTGGACAAATGTAGAAAAGAACTGAACACTGGTCTTTTTAACTTTAATTCCTCTGCGGCTAAGGAGTTGCATTATGATTCCAATAAAAAGCTGTCTTTCTTTTGACTCACTGTTACCCATTTTTGTTACTAATTAGAAGAAGAAAAAAAAGAAAAAAAAGGAGGCTTAATTTTAGAGAAGAAAGAACCTGAAAGGTACCCACCTTTCTTACCCTACCTTTCTTATGTAGGGGGGCCTGTAGCGCCCTAGTGGGGTTCTAAAACCTGAAGCCTACCCACTTTCCTTACCCTACCTATCTTATGCAGGGGGGCCCGCGGCACCCTAGTGGGGTCCTAGCCGTCCCGAAAACTGAACAATGTGGGGGGGGATTACCTTCGGGTTCCCTGTTTGTGGCCGTGGCGCCACTTGCTGGGGTCCAGCCTCGGCAGGATCCAGGGGGTACCCTCAGGATGAACGGCGTCGGCGAGAGAAAGAAGACATGTGAGACCAGCCTTGATAGGGCCAAGTCTGCGAGGGAGGGAGAGAGAGAGAGAGAGAGACCAGACGGTGTGTGTGTGTGTGTGTGTGTGTGTGTGTGTGCAGCTGGCAGAGTCTGGCAATCCTTTATTTTTCGCCATAGCTTTTATACCCTAAATTAGTACATTTCTAAGGGGAAGATAGTTTAACATTACATCAGCTTGTTCTTCACGAAACCAGGGTGTTTTCTGCATACTTCTTTGTTTATGAGGGTCTTGTACATTATCTTCTGGCCTTGGGGCCTATTAACATTTTATGCAAGTCAGGTGAATGTAAACCTATTTTCTGTTTCTATGGTGACCTTAACTGAAAGGTAGCGGTCTCATAGGGCAACAGTACAGAGTAGAAGTATAACCTTGTTAACACAAAAATTAATCCTTCTGCAGGAGTTGTCAGTTGCATTTATCTAAGAAGTTTACCCCAGACTGACTCTGGGACTTTGGTGAGGCAGCCTCTGCCTAGCACTCCTGGCTGACAATTAGCAACCATCTCATTGTTACCACACTAGGGCTAAGCTCTTATTTCTCCAGGTCTTTAACTATATTAACAGTGGTTTCTATAACACAACTTTAGCACATTAAAAGCAAAAACACAGCAAGCAAAACACAGCAAGCAAATGTTAATCCAATAGCTACTTTTAGAATAATTTTTCTTGTGTTTTCTTTCTTTCTTTTTTTTTTTTTGGTGGAGATGCCGGGGAATGAACCCGGGGCCTCATACAAAAGTCACTCAGTCGTGTCCGACTCTTTGCAACCCCTTGGACTGTATAGTCCATGGAATTCTCCAGGCCAGAATATTGCAGTGGGTAGCCTTTCCATTCTCCAGGGGATCTTCCCAATCCAGGGATCGAACCCAGGTCTCCTGTATTGCAGGCAGATTCTTTACCAGCTGAGCTACAAGGAAAGCCCTCTTGTATTTTCTAATAGGGCTTCCTCACCCCCCGAAGAGCTCTATGTCTGTTAGGGCCTTTATGTGATCAGGTTCTTTATGTTATTTTATGATTAGGGTATTATAAGCAATCATGCATATTAGTACCAAGGGCATAAATGCATTTGCCAAACAAACTAAAATACCTGCAAAGGAGTTTAAATTAAAACACTCCTTTCACTTTGGATAATCTCGTAAAATACCACCACCTGGGAAACTTATTGATTAAAGTTCTAAATTGATTCTTATTTGTGAAGAGATCAGGGAAGGCCTTCTGCCTGTGTCACAGAAATTAGGGAATGGTCTATTGAGGCAGGCGTCAGAAAGACAGATACCATCTTTAAGGTGAGCGCCGGGGGCAGCTTTTTAAAATCCCTGAAAACCTGATCTGCCCTGCCTGTCAGGCTTTCTCCTCATGACCTTGTCATGGGTAGGGTCTTGTGTGTTGGCTCCCAGCAAGCGGTGTGGTCAGGATTTGTTGAGCTTGCTGTATAAATGTTTTACTCCAACAAAGAGCTTTAAAAATACAGAGAAGGTAAATATAGCTATTGTAGCTTTATTTGAATTACTGTTTCTTTGGTCCACCTTATGTTTAGCCTTTCTGTGTATTTTATTTTAGGTTATATAGGTGCACTTTGTGTATCTACTTGGGGAGTTTTTTGCATCCAGTAGGTGAGTTTAGTCCTTTTGCTTCAGTTACCCATCCATTGGACTTATTTCTGCTCATTTTGTATCTTTTGGCTCCTAATCTTTGTCTTTGCTTTTCACCTTCTGTTGAATTTTTTTAACTTCCCTTCCCTTCTCAGCCCTTAATTTGTTATCTTTATTCTTTCATATAAAGTGAATGAGTCTCCGTTCTCCACCTGAATAAGACAACTCTGTGCCTGGGAGGAGGTAGGGGCAGATGATCTGAAATATTGCCCATGTCTGTAGGGAGCAGAGTCTGCCTGGGAGGCCGAGTGCTGAGGCCAACTGCGGGAGGGGCCAGGCAGTGACTGGCTCCTGCATCCATCCCAGGAAGCCCAGGGTACCAGGGGATGGCAGCTTTGCATCTGTGTGCCCTGCCTCAGGTGAGCATCTGTCTTCCCTGGGAGGCGGGAGGTCTTCTCCCAGGGTTTCCCCGTCTGCTTGGCCTTAGCAAACTGTCAGGCTTCTCTGGTGTGGGATGTTGAGGGGTGCTGAGCAGAGGGAGGGTGACCTTGAGGTTGCCTAGCCTCCCTGAATGGGTTGGCTCAGCAGCCAAAGGGTCAGGGCCCACCCCTCCCCTCACTACTCCAGGCCACACATGCAGGGTCAGGCCTGTGGTCACCCCTGGGCTACTTCTCTAGCCCAGGGCCCAGCCTGAGCCACGCCTGGGCCTCAGCAGCTCCTGTTGTTACAGGCTGAAGTGACCTTCGAGGACGTGGCCGTGCTTCTTTCGCAGGAGGAGTGGGGCCTTCTGGGTCCTTCTCAGAAGGGCCTCTACAGGGAAGTGATGCTGGAGACTTACAGGAACCTGCTATCGCTAGGTGAGGCCCTTCGCTGGGATGCAACTCAAGGAACAATCCTGGGGGCTGAGGACTGAGCAGGGGCTGGGCTGGGGGCCTCATCCCCTGAGTTCAGAGACATATCACTGACTCTGGTCCCAGGCAGGCCTGGTCTGCACAGCAGAGGGCCCCAGATGAGACTGCCTCCCTTCCCCAGGCCCAAGGCAGATGCACCCCTTGGTGGAGAGAGCCCTTGTGCTCAGATCTTCAACTGCATGCCCATGCCCACCCCTCCAGGGAGTATCCAGACTTCCTGTCACCCCTGCACGTGTATGTCCTCTCCCTTGGCAGTTCTGGGTCAGCCCGCACTGTGTCTGTGGCACCCACCCCAGGCCCCGTCTCCTTCCCAGGAGCTGGACTTGCAGATCCCAAGCCGGAGGTGATTGTACAGTTGGAGCGAGGGGATGAGCTGTGGGTGCTGGACATGCATGGGGCAGAGCAACCAAGCGTGGATGGCTCAGGTGCGTGGGGGGCTGCCACCCCAACTCACCTCTGAATAAGCCTGTGTGGGGGCCCACAGAATGTGGTACCAAACTGACTCATGGGTTTGGAGGAAGATGGTCAGTGCAGTGGCCCTGGGAGTGGCCTCTGCCAAAACCTGGGTGCTCTTTCTTTTAATTGAAATATAGTTGATTTACAGCATTGTGTTCGTTTCAGGTGTACAATTTAGTGATTCAGTATTTTTACAGATTATATGCCTTTTATTTTTTTTTTTAGATTATATGCCTTTTAAAATGATTACAAAATAATGGCTGTTTCCCCCATGTGGCACAGTATCTTTGTTGTTTAGTTATGGGGTAATTCTTGAGCTGAATCTTGTAGAAGGGTGAGAGGGGGCTGTGTTGATGGAGGAGAAGAGGGGAGGACACTTGGGCATGCCCTGAGGGACCCCGTAGAGCCCTGCCCTCCAGAGTCCTGCCTTCCAAGGAGCATCAGGTGGGGCCACAGTGAACAACATCACTTCGTCACCCTCCTCTAAGTTAACCTACTGGATGGTTATAGACTTTTACAGGAAAGGGAGGGGGCACACATCACCCTGGATTTCAGCACCCAGATACAGATGTGTGCTGGTGTGCGCCTGCTGTCCCTTTTCCAGTGGAGTCTAGTCCACACCAGCACACAGATGTCACTTCGTAGCAGGAATGCAGTGATCTGTGTGCATTGCTGGGCTGCTGATTTTTCACTGAACGTGTTTCTGTTTCTGTGTCCCTGTGCTCACTGGAGGTACTTGGGAAGGGTTTTCTCTAGACTCACTACTGTGGATCACCTGAGAGTGTTGTCCTGCAGGTGTCTTCCTAGTGTCCCTGGAAGGAACTGTTGGCTCAAAGGACTTGGATTTCTCTTTTGTAAATTTGTTTCTTCAGATCTAAATACTTACAGAAATGAGACAAATCCTATTTACAGCTCAGTGAATTTATACAAACAGTCCACTCACCAGATCAAAATAGAGAACATTCCTAGTTCCCTGGGAGACCACAGGGCCTCTGTCATCTCCCATAGCTCCCCTGGGCCTTCTCTCTGACTCCTGCAGGGCAGGGCTGCTGTGTTGTATGGAGTTTGTTTGGTCTTATCACCATTTGCTGTTCTGTCATGAACACACTGCAGGGTATTTGGTTGTCCCCAAATCTCGGGCCTGTTGTTTGTGTGTGTGTGTGTGTGTGTGTGTGTGTCTTGGCTCACAGAACAAGTTTCTGATGAGCATGTTCCCACACATGGAGTCACTGTGTGTCTTGTCAGGGAAGGAAGGGTGGAGACGGCCTCAGATGAGGGCATCCTCTGGGGTGTCTGGAGTGTAAGTGCTGGCGGCTCATGGGTGGTCTCTCAGGACCCTGGGGGGAGCCCTGAGAATGGACGTGGCCTGTGTGCCTGTCCCCCTCACCCTCAGTTAGCACACACTGTGCTCTCTGTGCTCCTGGGGAGGCAGCCGGTTTCCCCCCATGGATGTTGGGGTGGATCAGCTGCTGTCAGGCAGCTGTAGACTTGCTCAGCTTTCACTTCTTTATCAGATATCCTTAGTGTCCTCTGGGGCCCCTCCTTGCTCTGGCTTTGGTGATGCTGTGAAGCTTCCATCTTCCTTCCTTTTGGGACGAGGATGGGTATCCTGCAGTCTCACCCAGCGGGCTCTGTGTGCAGGAAAGGTTGGGCATTAAGGATTGGGTGGATGCTTGCACTGCCCTGTGATTGCAGCCCTGGGCAAGGCTTTTAGCCTCTGACTGCCAGGCCCTCGTGTCTGTATGACACTGGAGATGGTGGAGCTGCTAGTCCACAGGTGGTTGGCAGCATCTTTTACCTTCCTTCCAGAGTCAGAACAGGTGACTCCAAGGTGTTCTGTTTGTTGTTTCAGCTCATGGGACCAGGACTGAGAACCAGGAGGTGACTTCAGGCGAAATGCTGTTTGGGAGAGAACTGGACGCACTCAGGCGGAGTGTTCTCCAGGGACCTGAGCCAGGAGAAGCCCATGAGCGTGTCGGGGAGCAAGAGGGGCACCTGGACAGGCCTGAGGAGCAGAGAGGCCCCAGGCTAGTCACACTGGCCAATGAGGAATGTGGCCTGGAGTCTGGAGGAAACCTCAGGTCGGGGTCAGGGCCTATCCCTGATCAAAGACCTCACAAATGTGATATATGTGAGCAGAGTTTTGAACAGAGATCATACCTTAATAACCATAAACGTGTACACAGGTGCAAAAAAACGAATATAGTTCACGTTTCAGGGGAAATTTTCCCTGTGAATTTAGTTGTTAAAGAAGATCAGAAAATTCCTGTTGGGAAAACATTGCATTATTGTGGTTGTTGTGGGAAGGCCTTCAGGTACAGCGCTAACCTTATCAAGCACCAGCGACTACACAGTGAAGAGAAGCCCTACAAGTGTGAAGAGTGCGGAAAGGCCTTCCACCAGAGCTGTGAGCTCATCAGTCACCGGAGGATGCACTCTGGAGAGATCCCCTACCGTTGCAATGAGTGCGGGAAGACATTCAACCAGAGGCCCAACCTCATGAAGCACCAGAGGATCCACACCGGGGAGAAGCCCTACAAGTGCGGCGAGTGCGGGAAGCACTTCAGTGCCTATTCCTCCCTCATTTACCACCAGAGGATCCACACCGGGGAGAAGCCCTACAAGTGCGGTGACTGCGGGAAGGCCTTCAGCGATGGCTCAATTCTCATCAGGCACCGTCGCACCCATACTGGAGAGAAGCCCTATGAGTGCAAAGAGTGTGGCAAAGGCTTTACCCAGAGCTCCAATCTGATCCAGCATCAGAGAATTCACACTGGGGAAAAACCCTATAAATGTAATGAGTGTGAGAAAGCCTTCATCCAAAAAACCAAACTTGTTGAACATCAGAGAAGCCACACTGGAGAGAAACCCTATGAGTGTAATGACTGTGGCAAAGTCTTCAGCCAGAGCACCCACCTCATCCAGCACCAGAGGATCCACACGGGAGAGAAGCCCTATAAGTGCAGTGATTGTGGGAAGGCTTTCCACAACAGTTCCAGACTCATTCACCATCAGAGGTCACACCACGGAGAGAAGCCATATAAGTGTGCTGATTGTAAGAAGGCCTTCAGCCAGGGCACGTACCTCCTGCAGCACCGGAGGATCCACACTGGGGAGAAGCCTTACACGTGTGGCGAGTGCGGCAAGGCCTTCCGGCACAGCTCCAACATGTCCCAGCACCAGAGGATTCATCTCCGGGAAGACTTCTCCCTGTGACTGTCTGTGATGTGCTTCCCCCGTGTGACCACCTTCTCTTTACTTACTGTTCACATGGTGTCACAGGTGAACAGGCACTTCTAATTTTAAAAAGCCTCTTTTCTTAAAAGCAGTGCATGTTCATTTTAGAGAAGTTGAGTGGAAAAAGGTAAGCAAAAGGGAGAAGCCCTGTGGCCTACCCTTAGAAAGAGAACTCACCACTATTGCGATCAGTGTAGGTTGTGTCCAGACACTCAAACAACATCCACAAGAGAAGTACTGTGGAACTTGTGAGTGCAGCTCCTGTTTCCTCAGTCCTGGAAAACTCACACTGGAGAGTTCTACGTGTTTATGTGGTTTTACACCTTGTAAATTTAAAAACAGCATGTGGTTCATACTTTCCTGTGTCACTTAATAGAGTTGATACTGCCTTTTTTATTGTGGTAATAACATTGTATGTTAGTCACTCAGTCGTGTCTGACTCTTTGTGACCCCATGGATTGTAGCCCATCAGGCTCCTCTGTCTATAGGATTCTCCAGGCAAGAATACCGGAGTGGGTTGCCCTTTCCTTCCCAAGTGAAAACATTACATTTACCATTTTAACCATTTTTAAATGTACAACTCAGTGGTACTAGATACATTCACAGTGTTGTATGACCATCAGCAAATCTGTTTCCAAAACTTGAGTACAGACAGAAACTCTGCACTCTTCCCCTTTTTCTTATTCTCGCTCTTAAGAATTTGCTTACTCTAAAGTACCTCATGTAAGTGAGGTCATACATTTGCCTTTGTGTCCTGGCTCATTTCATTTAGTGTAAGGTCTCTTCATGGCTGAAGTGTACTCCATTGTTTGCAGACACCATGTTTTGTTCACTCATGGTCATCTGTTGATGGGTTACCGGTGTTTCTGCTTGTTGACTGTGCATAATGCTGCTGTGAACATTGGTGTACAAATCTGTGCTTGTACTTTCCATCCTTCCAATACTTTGGGATATAATCCCAGGAATAAAGTTGATGGATCATATGGTAATTCTTTTAAGTTTTTGAAGAATGACCAAACTTTCCCACAATGGCAGTGTCATTTTACATCCCCACTGTCAGTTCACGAAGGTTCCAGTTTCTCCATGTCTTCCTCAATACTTGTTGTTTTCCATTGTTTTGATATTAGTCATCCTGATGAGTGTGAAGTGGTATCTCATTTGCTTTTGGTTTGCATTTCCCTGATGACTAATGATATTGAGCATCTTTTCATGTGCTTATTGACCATTTATTTTTATGTCTTCTTTGGAGAAGTGCCCATTTTTGAATTGGGCTGTTTTTGTTGTTGAGGTGTAGTTCTTTATGTATTTTGAAGGGTAATCTTTTTAATTTTCCCTTAAAAAATATTTTATTGAAGTATAGTTGACTTACAATGTTTCAGGTATACAGCATGGTGATTCAGTTATACAGATACACATATTATTTTTGAAATTATTTTCCATCAGAGGTTATACAAGATGTTGACTAGTTTCCTATGCAGTAAACCTTTGTTGCTTGTTGCATGTGTATTTTTTAATTAGACGTCTAGCATTCTATTCATGTTAAAGGGGTAGTCTTTATCAGATTAATAATACTTGCAAATATTTTCTCATTCTGAGTTTTCTGTCTACTCCCTTGATGGTGTCCTTTCATTCACAGAAGTTTTTAATGTTTATGAAGTTCAGCTTATCTAGGGCATCTCTGGTGGCTCAGTAGTAAAGAATCTGCCTGTCAGTGGAGGAGACGTGAGTTCAATCCCTGATCTGGGAACATGCCCACATGCCCTGGAGCATGCAAGCCTGTGCGCCGAACTTGGAGCTTGTGCTCTGGAGCTCATTAGCCCTAGAGCCCCTGCTCTTCGACAAGAGAAGCAACGAGAGATGCCTGTGCACAGCTGCTCGCTGCAGCTAGAGAAAAAGCCCATACAGCAGTGAAAAGCCAGCACAGCCAAAACAGAAACAAAAACTTACCTGTTTTTTCTCTTGTTGCCTGTGCTTAGGGTGTCATATTCAGGAAATAATTATTAAATCCAATATTATGAAGATGGGCCCCTATCTTTTCTTCAAAGAGATTTATAGTTTTAGGTCTTATGGTTTGGTCTTTGATCTGTTTTGAGCTAATTTTTTATATATCTTAACAGGTAAGGGTCCAACTTTATAATCTTTTGCGGGTGGATATACAGTTTTCCCTATAACATTTCTTGAAAAGCTTTTCCCCCCCCCACCCACTGAATGGTGTGTTAGCTCAGGCTGCCATAATGAAGTATCACAGACCAGGTGGTTTAAAATCCAGAAGTTTATTTCTCACATTTCTGGAGGCTGAGAAGCCCAAGACCAGTGTGCTGGCTGATTGAGCTCCCGGTCAGGGTTCTCTCCCAGGTCTTAAGTCCAGCCACCTCAGTGTGTCCTCACTTGGTGGAGAGAGTTGTCAGGTGTTACTCTGCTGGCAGGACAATGAAGCCTGTGGTTAGAGGGTTAAACACTTCCACCTCTAGGGAGAGGGGATGGGCTGGAGGTTGGACTGATGGTGTCTGTGAAGGAAGCCTCTACAGAAACCAACAGCGCTTCTGGGTGGTGAGCATGGAGTTCCATGCCTTTCCTCATGCCTGGCACTCTGTATCTCATCTGCCTGTTATTCACATCCTAGTGATAAACTGATAATCTAGTGAGTAAACAAGTTTTCCTGTGTTCTGGGACCCACTGGAGCAAGTTAACTGAACCCAAGAAGTGGGTCACGGGAAGCTGATTTGTAGTCAGTTGGTCAGAAATACAGGTAACAACCTGGGCTTGCAACTGGTGCGTGAAGCAGAGCTGGGTCTTGTGAGGTTGAGCACTTTCCTGTGGAATCTGACTCTGTCTGGGTAGATAGCGTCATAACTAGGTTGAATTTTGGACATGCTGCCGACATCCAAGAATTGCTGTTGGTGTGCGGAAGCCAAGGTGTGCACACATACACAGAAACACACTCACTCACTCTCTGGAACTGGATCGAAGAATTCCTTTTGCTGAGATGACATAGATTTTGGGCCTAATCAACTCAGTGGGCAGTAGTGCCATTCAATGGAAAGTAGAAGACAGATTTAGGGACTAATCAGATGTTGTGGACATGTCAAGTATGAAATATCTGTGAAACACCAAAGCAGAGATGCAGGCAGGTGGGCTCTGGGTATCTGTCTAGTCAGTTTGGGAGACACTACCAAAGATGGCATCACAGTCACAAGAGAATGAAGCCATCGTGAAAACCCAACTTAATGCAGGAGTCCTGGGACTATCACCTGGAGCAGCTGACATCAGAGCTTGCCCAGAGATTCAGTGCTGGTGTTTGGCTGGGATTCTTAGGGCAGGAAGCTACCTGCTCCTCAGAACAAAGCCTGGGCTGCTGGGGGATACAGTGGCTCCTTGAGGATGACAGCTGCTCAGGAATGAAGGCAATACAAAGGACCAAGCCCTGCGGTGAGAGCCTGACACCACCTCATCTACATTTCCTGTAACAGCATAGTTAGCACACGCTTTTGCTTATCCACGTTTATAAGAAATAGTTTTATTACAGCAATGGGACTAACTGGTACGGAGCGCCACACCCCTTGAGGACATCCTCCCATGAGTGAGCGCCAGCGTACAACTGTACAGCTTCCCCACTGATCCTTATTAACGACACCTACTTAGCCTGCTCCTGAGACTGCTGAGAGTCTTCTATAACAGGGGTCCCCAACCCCTGGGCCAGTACTGGTCTACGGCCTGTTAGGAACCAGGCCACACAGCAGGAGATGAAAAGACAGTGAACAAGGGAAGATTCATCTGTATTTATATCCACTCCCCATTGCTTGCATTATGACCTGAGTTTCACCTCCCACCCTCTCTGTGGAAAAACTGTTTTTCATGAAATCTGTCCCTGGTGTCAAAAAGGTTGAGGACAGCTGTTTTACAACACACTGTGAACACTCACTTCAGTCTACTGTAGAACCATCTAAAGGAACCTCCCTCTTCTGGCAGGAGGGACATCTCAGCTGAAAACCTGCAAATGGGGTCCTGGGCTTGTCAGCACCAAACATGCAGGTCTCCCATCTGCCCCACAGCATTCCTGGAAAAGTGCTGCACTCCAGAGAAACCCTGCACCACTGCAGAGGTGGCCACTCTAGAATAGGGAAGAGGCTAAAAGAAATTAAACTTAAACTCTTCATCACGAGTATCCAAGGTGCCCTTAGACCTTCCTTCTGGACGAAGTCTGCAGACCTTTCGGCTCTTCTTTCTGGCCGCCTCACCTACAGGCTGCACCTGGGCTGAGTGGGCAGCTGTAAGGGAAGGGGACAGTATCAGAATTGAATAATAATAGCAAACATTAACTGCCCTGACAACTCTAACCTCACTGTAAAAATTAACTTACTGGCTTCTCAAAATCATAAGGTAAGTACTATCATCACACACCTTTAAGAATCACAGACTCACTAACTCTGCCCTTCCTTGCCTCCCTAGTCCAAGCCGGAGTTCTGTGATCTGCTCCCCAGGCATTCTCCTCGTGGCTTTCCTGAGCCCCCTCCTACTGTAGCAGCCCCGCTGCTCGAGGCTTCCCCCTTTCACTGCCCAAGCTTTTCCTCCCGCCCCCTTGAACTAGGCAGCTCTTCATCAACAAGTTCGCAGCTTCTCACCAGTCCTGAGAGCCTGCAGGGCCTCGCGCCACTCGGCTTCTATCTGAGCCCTGTAGTCCCCAAACAAAGAGCGCATCAGCTGCCTCTTCCGGGGTAGGGGTGTTCTCTGGCTGCGCAGGGTTCGGATTGCCCCAAGAGCTTGTTCTTCTGCGGATGAA